TGGCCGACGGCGCGCACGGCCTGGCGGACGCGCCCCTCGGCCTCCCCGGGCTGGCGGCGCCGCCCGGCCTGGAGGACCTGCAGGTGAGGCCCGAAGGGTCCGGGATGGGCCAGGAGCGGCCGCGGTGATTTAGGACTCTGGCTGGAGGCAAAAGAGTGAGAATGCGGGAACTCGACTTTTCTCCCAGCCTGCCACTTCTCACTCGAGACTCCGAGGATGCGTCCCACGTCCTGGGTTAGACGCTGCCTCGCCGTTAACGCGGCCTGGCACTGAGTCCGTGCGCGGTGCCTGGATGGCGGCAACCCTCGGCGGAGTAAATGGGCAGGGGCTGAACCACTCCTCTCCCTCTCCGCTGGGCCACGTAGGGCATCTATGCCCAGTCCCAGTCTGCTGGGGCAGCCCGTGCCTGAAGCGAAGAGAGGCGGAGGAGTTGACTGTCTAAGGTTCAAAATTCCCTTTTTGCACGGCACGGTGAGGTACCCAGGGCTCCGGCTCGGCCGCAGATGGTGCCGAGCCAGGGTGAATCCTGGTTCCGCCCGTCTCCGCCCCAGGCGACGGTGGTGCGCGTTGGGCGGAGCAGAGAGGATAGGGACCAGGGACAGCAAGGGCTTGGGAAGCGACTGAGGACTAGGTCCACAGACGCTCTTACCACCGCCTCTCCTATTTGCAGGCCATGGATGAGTCCGGAATGAGTTTCCTGGATCAGTCTGTGATCAAGAAAGGTAAGGAATGGTTGCATCTGCCAGGGCAGAATCAGGCGAGATGGTGGAGGCCCCGGACGCACAGACCCATTTTCTTCCCCGTGGAGCGTGCCTCCTGTGCGTCGCCGGGCTCGGTGGCCACTGGGCACTCTCCCGCGCCCAGCAGAGGGGTAGAGGAGCCTGGAGGCCTGGCAGAGCTTGGGTAGCTGAGCGGATTGGTGAGGTGGGCCCGAGCCCATGCGCGCTCACTGGGCTGCCAGGGCCAGCCAAGCCACACAGGAGCCTGGCTTCTCCCCGCTCCGAGGGGAGGGCACTCTTGTGGATCTGGAGTTAATTTGCAGAACGAGTTAAACCACTTCCCTGTTTCCTAAGAGGTGGGAATGGGGGTGCTGTTCCCACGGATTTCATTAAACGATTTCCACATTACATAGCCGTACCATTTCCTAGCCTGGCAAGTGCTTTCTGCCCTTTCCTTCTCAGCAGAGCCTTGGGAGCCTCATGTTTGCCTGGGGAATTTTCTCTCCATGTGGGAGCCTCTTTCTGCATTTAGGATTAGGAGAGCTGGTGTGTGAATATCCTGTGTTAGGCTGTGTGCAGGAGGGTCAGGGCCTGCCTGCTCCTGGGTGTTGGTGCCTGTGAGTTCTAGGTCCAGTCCATGTCTGTATGTTCCTTTCCTAGGTGTCTTTCTGGTATTTCTTGGCGTGTACGTGTGGCTCTGTTGCTGTGAGTGTATGATGCTGTGAGTGTACGTTTCTGTGCGTTTGGGGGTCTCCATGTGTGTGTCAGGATCTCTGTTGTGTCCCAGAATTTGTTCTTTGGTACTGGGGATCACTAAGCATGTGAGGGTCGCTCCTTGTGTATTTTCTGGGGTGTTCCTGTCTCTGCACTAGTAAAAACCAGGGGTTTGAGACCTGCCTTCAGGAGTGAATTTTTGGGCCTGAGGATGAGTTCCTGCCATGCTAGGGAAAGGTGAGAAAGAGACAAAGACAGAGACAGAGATTCAGAGGGGTCCAAGCGCTGCACGGGCTCCTTAGATTTGGGGTGGGTGCCCCGGAGGAATCGGAGGCGCAGACAAGCCCGGCGTGCCTGGGGCAGGCGCCGCTCCCGCGGGATTTGGCTCAAGTTGTTTTTCAAAAGAGTGAATTCAAGCCCGGGCTCTGTTTGCCCTCCGCATGTTCTCAGGGGAGGCTGGGGCTGGAGCTGGAGGATGAGGCTGGACTTCTGGGAGCTGGGGCTGGGTTACCAGGGGCTGGGAATTAGCCGGACCGCCTGGAGTGTGTGTAGAGAAGATAAGGGGACAGGCCTCCTGGAACTTGGGGGGGGCGTCTCCAGGTATTGCGGCTGTGTCACCTGGAGCTAGGGGTGTAGGGAGGACGCTGGGAACCCGGCTGCCTGGACTCTGGGCGGAGGTGTGTGCGGGACTTTGCTCTGTGCTGGCAGCCGCTGCGTTAGCTTAGTGGACTTTTTTGAACGCGTCGGAAGGAAGAGTTAGGTCTGCAGTTGGCAAGAGCCTGTCACTGCGCTGCGTCCACTCATTGATAATGATCATGGTCGCGGCCCCCAGTTGCAGACTGCTGCACGGCTCGAGGAGCTGGGGGGCCTAGGCTCACTGACTCTCTGGAGGAGGCCAGCCCCCTGCATTTTGGGAAGGAGCTTGGGGACCTCTGTCCTGGGGAAGGGTAGAAGGATCAGCTGGGGCTCTGAGTACCTGAAACCCCAATCCTCAGGCCAGAGCTAGGACAGGAGACTGGCTTCGAGGAGGTACTGGAATTGCCGGAGTCGGTTTCTCTCAAAGGGCATCAGCTTCCGTAAATTCCGGGTCGTAGCTATGCGTCGGAATCCCCAAAGGCGGTCCCAAGAACACAATGAGTGCTGCCCGGACTGTCCCGATGCTGGGCATTGCCGACGCGGGTGCGCACACGGGCCGGACCGTAGTGTTGGCCTGTCGGTGGCCGAGTGCAGCGAGGTAGAGTGCTAGCGACCTGAGCTGGAGACTGCTCCCTGGGCGCTCCACCCCGGACGTGGAGTCACAGCTCCCAGCGCCGCCACAGCAAAGGGGGGGTGGGGCAGTGAGAGCCAGGGGGCTCCCTGCAGAAGGAAGCGCCTGGTTCCCAAGCCGAGCCGCGAGCTTGACCTTCTGCTGGCGCGGTGCGCCTTTGGGGAGGAGAGAGGGTCACTGCCGGCGCTTTCGGGCTTTGCAAAGGCGGAGGCAGAGCTGGTCCCGAAGGTCCAGGCCTAGGGGTGAGGGTGGGCGGGCGACGACGCGGAGCCGTTGTGGCTAAGCTAGGGGCCCGGTTGGAGCTCTGCGCGCAGCAGGCAATTTTCGCCTGGGCCCTCCACTGTCATTGCGGGACTCTGGCCACGCCGCCAGCCCCTAAGGGGCCTGGATTAGCGCCCTTCTTTGCCCTCAGGCCCTTCCAACAGCATTGGGAGCCCCTGGCGTGTCCTGAAGACCTCTGGCACGCGCCGGGACCCTACTCCGGCCCGGGCCCTGGAATTATAGAAAGCCATTTTTGGCTAGCTAAAGCATCCGATTCCTCCAGCTCCTCCCGGCCCTGGTGGTAGGGGCGCCTGTGTCACTGGCGGTTGGGGTCCTGGATGCGAAATGAAGGCAACCCCAGCTCTACGCCAGAAGCGGCCTTCCTACCGCAGGGTGCCGCGGGGGAGGGGAGCCTGGAAGCTCTCGGGGCCCAGACCTTGGTTGTAAAATCTTCGCTACTCCAGGCGCTTGTCCTGGGAGGGGGAGGGGAAGCGAAGCCTCCGCCCCACCACACACTTCCAGGTCGGCCGCCCCTTGCAGCCACGGTGTGGGTCCGGGGATGGCAGATAGGGTCTGGCACCAGGAGAAGCGGGGAGCTCTCCATTTTCTGCCCACATTTGTCACCTCTAGTTTTGTGACCTGTCTTAGGGGCACAGAAAGCAGGCGGGACTAATAGGGGAGACAGACCTGGGCAGGAATATTTTCCAGCCGAGAAGAGCAGTGAGCAGGGTCTGTACAGATACATCTAATTTTACTATTTTTTTCTTTTTGAAGAGAGAACAACTTAGGAAAAGCACAGTGATTCTCACAGGGGTCCCTCCGCTGGCACAATCGGGTGCTTGCTGATTGTGGGAGCTCAGAGGAGGAGCCAGGAGTGCCTGAGGTTGGGAGGATTCCTGGAGGGGAGACAGTAGGACCGGGCTCAGTAGGTGCTCCATGGGTGTTTGTTGAATGAATGAGTGATGGGTTTTGAAGTCTGAGTGCATTGGGAGAGGGGATATAGAAAAGGCTGAGCTATTTTCACCACACTGGGCACAGCATGTACAAATGCCCTTGCCTGTGCAAAAGCCAGGCGGGTTAAAAATCTCAGTGGGTTTCTGGTTAAACAGTCACAGCTGGAGGCGAGTGGTTTGTGGATGAGAACTGAGATATTCCTCCTTCCCTCCAGGCGAGTGGGTGGTTGCCTAGTTGGGGGTGGGAAATCTCTTTTTGCTGGGCTCTGTTGTCCCATCTCAGGGGGTCTCCAGGGCAGGGGCTGATGTAAATAGTCACCCTCTTCTCTGCTCTCCTTGGCTGTAAGGAAGGAAGAAGGAGATGGAGAGGGTCTGGGCTTCCAAGTGAATCTCCAAGCAGGGCCAGGCCTAGGGTGAGGTGAGTGAGGTATTCACCTCTGAGGCAAGATTTAGATAAATAATATATCTAAATGCAATATTTTAAAATAAAAATAATGCAAAAAAATCCATGGTAAACAAAATATGAAAATTTTACATAAAGATAGGATTTGACCCTGCACTTCCACAACCCTGCCTCACTTGCCTCCTAGGCCACTGTCTGCCCCAGAAAGAGACTAGAAAACCAGTGTCCTTGCAGATAGAGTTTGGGCGGTACCTGAGGGCCAGCATAGAGCAGGGGAGTGACAGGTAGGAGCTATATTTAAAAGAAACCCGCTGGCAGTTGGTGAGAAGGGAGCTTAACCAGCAGGTCCCACTAGGGGAGATGAGGAGACTCAAGGGCTGGGAGGAGGGTCACTACCCCTCCTGCCTGCCTTCCTCCTGCTGTTGCCCCCTCCCCCCAGCCTTTGGAGCAGTGGTACCCTAAGTGTGGTCTAAGGAACCACATGCATCAGAATCTCTTGGGAGTGATTGTTGAAAAATGCAGATTTCATATCTAATGAATGAGAATCCCTGGAACTTGCATTCTTTAACATATTTATTGAAGTGAAATTTACATACCTAAAATGCACCCATTGTAAGAGTATAATTCGATGATTTTTTAGTAAATTTATAGAGTTGTGTAACCATTACCACAATCCCTTTTAAGACATTTCTATCACCACCCCCAAATTCCTTCATTCCCACTTATAGTTAATCCCCATTCCCACCCCAAGCCTTAGGCAACCACTGATCTGCTCTCTTTCTATAAATTTGCATATTCTGGATGTGTTATATAAAGGGAATATATAAATATGCAGACTTTTGCATCTAGCTTCTTTTACTCAGCATAATGTTTCTGTGTTGTAGCACGTTAACAGTAGTTCATTTCTTTTTATTGCTGAGTAGTACTCCATTGTATGGATGAAACACATTTTGTTTATCCATTCATCAGCTGATGGACACTTGGGTTGTTTCCACTTTTTGGCTATTATGAATAATGCTTCTATGATCATTCATGTACATGTCTCTGTGTGGACATATGTTTTCATTGCTCTTAAGCAGTAAATTCCTAGGAGTAGAATTACTGGATTTTATGCTAAGTTTGTGCTTAATTTTTTCTTAATTTTTTAAGAAACTGCTAAGCTCTTTTCTAAAGTGGCTCTTCTATTTTACATTCCCACTAGCAATGTGTGAGGGTTCCAGTTTCTCACATCCTTACCTACACTTGATATTGTCTATCTTTTTTATTATAGTCATGGTAGAAGTATCTCAGTGTAGTTTTAATTTGCATTTCCCTAATGACTAACAATGCTGAGCACTTTTTCATGTGCTTCTTAGCCATTGATGTATCATTTTTAGTGAAATGTCTATTCACATATTTTGACCATTTCCTAACTGTGTTGTTTATCTTATTATTAAGTTAAAAGAGTTCTTTATATATTCTGGATACACATCCTTAATCAGATAGATGATTTGCAAATATTTTCTTCAAGTTTGTGGTTTGTCTTTTATTTTCTTGATAGTGTCTTTTGAGGTTTTTAGTTTTGATGCAGTCCAATTTATCATTATTTTCTTTTATGGATCATGCTTTTGGTGTTGTATCTAGGAACTCTTTGCCCAAACCAAGGTCACAAAGACTTTCCTCCTATGCTTTCTTCTAGAAGGAAGTGCAATTTTAACCAGCTTTCCGGGAGAGTCTGTTGCACACTCCCCGGATTCAGTGGTCAGACTGTATCTACTACCTGTGGATAGAGTGTGTAGACGTGTGTGCGAGTCTTGTCTGACAGGCTGAATAACTAGGAGCTCTCCTGTCTGGAGGAGTGTGTATATGTGAATGGCTTCTGCTGTGTGACTAGGGGGACACCATGAGTAGACCACTTCAGCTTCAGGAGTCACCGCGGGATGGAAAACAAACATCAGTGTCCCTGCTTTGCCATCTGTGCTAGTTTAATTCCCACCTCCATGTCTGTCCCTTCCCCAGGCTGCCTGCTTCCCTAACCTTGGGCTCCATCCCTCTTACCATTTTTGAGGAAGAGGCTCTGAGGAAAAGAGGAAGGACAAGTGAGGGAAGCAGCCAAGTCTATCATTTATATACACAAACACATGTCCACCTGTCATGCACCTACACTTGGCCGCAGCTCCGTTTGCGTAAATCTGGCACACACGCTGTGTTTAAATATATCCTATGAGCAAAAGCACTTGCAGCTATCCATATGCGTGCTGCCACATTCCTGCAACACTAGTGGAGGGCAGAGACTGTGTCTGTGTACGTAGCTGGGGCTCAGTATTTGTTGAATGAGTAAGTGTGCACGCGCACAACCTCACCCTCATTGCTCTATGACGGGGCATACAGTGTTTGTGTACAGTCATTTTTGTGACACATGTGTGCACATATGTCCCTGTTTGCACAAGCACAAACAGCCTCACGCAGCCTTAGACTCTCTTACCTCTCACGGGGCTTGGCCTCTGGGGGCCCTAGATTTTAAGAGAAGTTGGATGGAGAAGGCTGCAGAGGGAGAAAAAAATTTTCTCTTCCTCTGACTGCTCCCTCTGGCTAGGGGTCATGAGAGGGAGGACAGTTACTCTGCCCTTCTTTTTATTTTTAATTTATCAATTTGTAGTTTTATTTTTTTTTAAGTCAAACTTGAGGTATAACTTACATACGGTACAGTTCACCCTTTTTAGATATGCATTTCTATGAATTTTGACAAATGTAAACATATAGTCATGTAACCATGAAAACAATCAAGATATAGAGTAGTTCTGTTACCCCAAAAAGTCCCCTCAAGGCAGGGGCACAGGTGAAGAGGGAACCCATGCACAGGCCTGGGAGACGCTGAGGTGGGAGGCGGGGAGGGCCCCCATCGCATGGCCAGTGTCAGTGTGTCTTGTTGATTCAGGACATCCTTGCTTCTCACTCTGGGAGGGGCTGGGATTAGGGCAAGGTGAGTGAGGCAGGGTCGTGCAAGAGCAGGATCAGAGCCTGGTTCTAATTAATTTTGATATTTTGTCACCGTGGATTTTTTACACGAATTTTTATTTTTTAAAACATTGCATTAAAATACTATTTATCTTGATTGCTGAGTTTTTTGGCACCTCCTTAAATTTGGCACCCAAGGTGAATGCCTCACTAGCCTTACCCTAGTCTGGGACCTGCTCTGGGGACAGGGAACTTGCTGGGGTAGAGTGTGTGTGCTGCTCCTTCTTTCTACATCCCCCCACCTGTCCCACTCAGCCCCATCCATGACCTTTTGGCCCCTCCCTGGTGCCTGAATGGGGACCCAAGGAGAAAGGGCAGTGTGACTGTCAGTTGCTAACAAAGGAATGAGGCTCCCCCAGTGCCCCCTCACACACAATCTGGGCAGTGGGCCATCACTCTTTTCCCCATTTCAGGTCTCAAGGGCCCTTGCGTCACTCATTTATTCCACATTCACTGAAGCCCACTTGGGCTAAGACCCCTGCCCTCAAGGCACTCCTAGTTGGTGGGGGAGAGAGCACGCAAGCAGACATGAAGGTTCAGTGTGGTCAGGACAGGGACAGGGGTGAGAGGGAGCTGGGGCCGAGGGGACAGGAAGCTTTGCCTCCGGGATGGTGCCTGAACCGAGGCTTGGGAAGGAGGGGGCCCTGAGACAGACAGTGAAGCAGTTCTGTGGGGCTCAGGAGCTCACACGCTGGTGGTCCCACATCCCAGGTGGCGCTTCACACACGTTCCATTTGGCCAGAGCTGGGTTTTTAAATTTTTGAATCTGTGGCCAATGTTTAAAAATCCAGAGATTTCACATAGAAAGCCAGAATTCTGGTCTCACCAGCAAAAAAAACAAACTGGGAGTTCTGGCAACGTTGGCGTGTCCTGCATGGTAACACTCAGCCAAGTAGCGGCTTGACGTAGGGTGGCCCGTCTCCCATATCTCGCTTACTTATGTCACCTGTTGCACTCCCCCTTTGCAGTCTAGAGCTGTGCTGTCTACCAAGGCAGCCACTAGCCACATGCGGCTGTTGGGCACTTGAAATGTGGCTAGTCCAAATTAAGATGGGCTGTAAGTGTAAGATATGCATTGAATTTTGAAGACTAAGTGTAAGAAAAGAATGTAAAATAGTTCATTTATAATTTTTAAAATATTGATTACATGTGTTACATGTGTTTTGATACATTGGGGTAAATAAAATATATTAAAATTGACCTCACATGTTTCTTTTTACTTTTTTTAAATGGGGGTACTAGAAAACTTACATTTACATTTGTGGCTCACAGTATATTTCTGTTGGTCAGTGTGGGTCGAGAGCCTAAAGGAAAATGGAGGAGCAGGCAGGAGAGGTCGGCTCTGGCAGGACCACGAAGGAGGGTGAAGGAGGGCATTGTCATGGTTAAGGATGTGAACTTTGGAGTCCGTGGTCAGAGTTCAAGACCCATTTCTGCTCCTTATTGCTGTGCCATCTTAACCTCTTTGAACTTCTAGTGTCTCCATTCTGAAATGAGGATGGATAATAGCATCTGCTCCACAGAGCTGTTAACGTAAAGCACGTAGTAGGTAGTTAAAGGATAGGCAACATCCTTCTGCCCAGCTATGGAGCTGGGATTTGGTTCTCAGCGAACTGACCAGGCACTGATGGGTTTTAGGCTGAGGAGTGATGTGTGTTTCAGAAAGATCCCTCTGGAGCAGGGCAGGAGACCAGAGCAGGGGCTGTGCAGGAATTCAGGCGGGAAGCTAGCGAGTGTCTGTGCGCATGCGGAGAAAGGGCCGCATCTGGGGCACAGGGAGAAATGAAAGCCCTAGGACATGGTGATGGGTGAGATGTGGTGGGAGAGGGCGATGTGGACGGCATCACAGAGGTTTCTGGCTGGGTGCCTGGGTGGAGAGTGGGAATGCACATCCAGAGAGGGAAAAGCTGGAGGGGCTCTGCCCGTGCAGGGACAGGGTCAGCCTTACTTACCTCTGCATTCCCGAGGCCTAGCAGAGTTCCTGGCACACAGGTGCCCAGCAAATATTTCCTGAATGGCTGGAGGGCTAAGAGCGCTGCCTTGGAGACCACAGTCTAGGGCTTACTACTGGTTCTAAGTCTACCACCTGTGTGATCTCAGTCATACTTCTTCACCTCTCTGGGCTTTAGTCTCTTCGTCTGTAAAATGGGAATAATAAATGTAGACCCCTTGTGGGTTGTTCTGAGGATTCAGTGAGGTTATCCATGTAAGCACATAGCATAGTGAGTGCTCAGTAACTGCTGGTCCCAGACTCCCCACTTGATCCCCGCACCCCAACACACACACACAAGGCCTGCCTTCTCTACCAAGCTCTCACTTCCTTGAAAGTAGAGGAGCCCAAGGGGAAGCAAGTACCTCAATTATTCTCCCTTCCCCTAGAGGCTAAGCAGAAGGATGGAGGTTAGACTACAGGAAGAACTTTCTTTTAGAGCCAAGAGTATCTAGGTGGGTTTTAGAAAATTAACTTCTCAAGAGTCCCTTTCCTGCCCCCCATAGATATTAGTAGATAATTAGAGAGCATTTGGGAGAGGGGGCTATAGGGTGTGTCTCTTTATTCCTGGTCTCCTTGAGCATCCCAGAGTAACTTGGCAGGAAGGGGGGCCAGGGCTGGAGGCCTAATGGGCCATAACCTCCCTGTCCCCAGGATGTGGGAGTCCAAAGCCCCCAGGCCCCTCACTGATCTGGGGGTGGGAAAGAGATGGGGATCACAGTGGGCAGGGGGGAGCTGGGAACTCCTTGTGGTTGTGCAGATCTGCAGGGCCCTGCTACATTGAACCAGGAATCCTGCCTCCAGCTCAGATCCGTTTCCTCATTTCCATCTCCCTCTCTGATTGCATATGCCAAAACTCCAAGACTCTGCTGAAGTTGTTTGAGTTTTAACAGAGAACCAGCCTGGCCCAGTGAAGGGAACACGGGTTCAAGAGCCAGATAGCTCTAGGTTCAATTTCTACCACCTATTAGCTGAGGGAACTTGGGTGAGTCACGTTAACCTCAATGTGCCTCAGTTTCTTCCTTTGTAAAGCAGGGGTGGCAGAACTTCCCTTTGAAGGGTGCTGGCACACTGAGATGCGGCTGTGTGTGCACAGCATGTAGCATGGTGCCCAGCATGCAGTTGGTACTTCAGCAACACGCTCACTCCCCAGCTGGCTAGTGCCCGTGTCCTGTGGTCCCTGGCTCAGTGTTGTCTCTCTCTCCCTTGCCCTTGCTTCTGCTCCACAGTCCCCATCCCCTCCAAAGCCAGCAGCCTCTCGGCCCTCTCACTGGCCAAAGACAGCCTGGTTGGCGGCATCACGAACCCCAGTGAGGTCTTCTGCTCCGTGCCAGGCCGGCTCTCGCTGCTCAGCTCAACATCCAAGTACAAGGTGACGGTGGGGGAGGTCCAGCGGCGACTCTCTCCTCCCGAGTGCCTCAACGCCTCCCTCCTGGGTGGTGTCCTTCGCAGGTAGGAAGGCTAGCCCACACTCCCTGCACAGTGCCTGGGCCAAAATCTGTGGTCACTTCAGACCTTCTCAGGGGATCAGAGAGGGGCCAGCCTCACCCCAGGCCACAGGGTCATCTCCACCTCAGTCTCCCTGGGGTATTGTGCATGCTCTGGGGCCAGGCCCAGGTCCCCAGCAGCAACCACAGGTCTGTGGGCTTGGAGGTGGGTGGTGGACAAATAAGCCTGAGCACAGAGAAGGGATGGAGGACACACCTACATTGGACAGGACAAACAAGGCTGGGTCTGGGGAAGAGAGAGCCCCAAAGTCACCCCCTCTTCCAGGAAAGAGACCCCAGGACCCAAGGCCCATTCCCTGTGGAGCATAGACCTCTCTGGTGTGTGTGTTTGGCAGTCCATGGTTTGTCTTCATAGTTATGTGTCTGTCTCTCTCTCTGCATGTCCTTGTGTCTGGGTAGGGTATTTGTGCTTCAAGGCTATGAGTTTTGATGTGTTGAGGATGGTGTGTGCTTGTGTGTGCGTGCATGCATGTGTGTGTGTGTGTGTGTGGTGCAGGGGACTGCCAGGAGCATATGTTTCCATGAGTGTGAGTTTCCTATGTTACTTCTAGTGGGATGTGTCGGCTGGAGTGTGTCCTACTTTGTGTGTGTGTGTGATTGCATGCACATCTGGAGCTGACATATGTATGTTTACCTGTCAGTACCTCTGTGGGGGGGTATCTCCTTATTCCAGGTCTCTCTGAGCACCCCAGAGGGTCTCGTGTGAGTCCGTGAGTGTCTGTAAACATGTCTCTGGGATCCTGCTTGGTGTGAACATGTGTCTCTATGTCCCTGTGTGTCCCTGGGTGTCTCTGCATATAGGTCTGTGTGTCCGTGGGTGGCTGTGTATGGCCCAACAGGTGTGCTAAGGTGGGGGAAAAGGACCCCAAGATGCTGGCCTATTCTGCCCCACCCTGGGCTATTCCTGCTGTGAGAGGATCAGGGAGAAATGGGGGGCTCCTGGAGCTGAGTGCTAGTTCCCCCACCCCCACCTTAGCTACAAAGCCAGTGAGGTTAGGAAGATGTTGGGACCAGGCTAAAAGAGGCCCCAGAGCATCCCCAGGGCCAGGCCCAAGTCTCAGCAGGGGTTGGTGGAGGCAGCAAGGCCCTGTTGGGGTCACTTAGCCTACATGCTTCTCTCTTGTCTTCATAGTGTGTGTCTGTCTCTCTCTGTGCACATCAAGGGCCAAGTCCAAGAATGGGGGCCGGTGCCTGCGGGAACGGCTGGAGAAGATTGGGCTCAACTTGCCGGCCGGCCGTCGCAAGGCTGCCAATGTGACACTGCTGACTTCACTGGTGGAGGGTGAGTGAGGCCTGAAGGTGGGCGTGAGTGTGAGCATGACCTGTGTCATCCAGTGTGACTGTCTCTGATGCAGGAGGGTGTGTTTAGTCACATGTGTGTTCTCTGTGAGTCATGTCTAAGTAAGGGGTGTGTGTGATATATGTGTATAGTCTTTATGTGTATGTGCATGCACACACGTGCACGCAGCCACACAATAGAGAGCATGTGTGTGTGTGTGTGGATGCAGGGGGGAGTGGCCAGTGTTTGGATGTGGTAAAGGGGTGAGGGAGTGAGAGTTCCTTCCTTCCCTGGAGGTTGGTGACGCTGGGTTTGGTCATCTCGAGCTGGGGCTCTAGGATACATGGCGGGCTCAGCTCCCACCCCTGGGCTCAGAGCCTATCCCTTGTGGCCCCAAGGGAGGGCAGTGAGATTGGAGCTGGAGCTGGGCTGGGGAGGGAAATCAGAGGAAGGTATCTGTAGAAGCAGGACAGGGCAGGATGGCCCATGGCCAGGGGGTCGGAGGTTCAAGGCTGTGCTCCAGGCTCAAAGGTACACCTGGCTGTAGTAACATCTCATCTTTCTGACTCTCCTCCCCGCAGGAGAGGCTGTGCACCTGGCCCGAGACTTTGGCTACGTCTGTGAGACCGAGTTCCCAGCCAAGGCAGCTGCCGAGTACCTGTGCCGACAGCACTCTGACCCTGGGGAACTGCACAGCCGCAAGAGCATGCTGCTGGCCGCCAAGTGAGTGAGGATGCCATGTGTGGGCGCTCTGGGACACCGTGCACAGGATGGCATGGGTGCCATGCATAGGCACATGTAGGTGCAATGCACAGACATAGACACCAAGCATGGGCACAATGGACACTACTCGTGCACAGGTGATGTACAAGTGGCACCACACACGGCACACCCAGGCTCCATGCTTTGCACACCACAGGGGCACAAATGGACACATGTGACCATATCTGGGTTCTATGTATCAGCAAACATGGTGTCACAGACAGGCTTACCTAGGCCTATGTGTGGGTACCATACCCCCATATACTGCCCCATAGCATGACCAGCCCCAGTCCCATCATGGGTCTGGGCTTCTGTGGTCTTGCTCCCCCTGCCTGAGCCTTGCCCATCAGCCCTCTGCTCCAGTGACTTCCATCAGGGCACCAATACCCACCCAGGCCCCTCTGCAAGCCTCCCTCACCACCATTCACATGCTGCCACCTCAACTCTGGTCTCCTAAACTCGCTTCTGGACCTTCACCCCAGCACCCCATTGTTCCCTCAGCCTTGCTGCACATGCACTGCTCCCCAGCCCAAGAACCTTCAGTGGCTCCCACTGCTACTGCATGGATTTTCAAACTAGGTTCTGTGGGGCAGACACCTCAGGGCCTGTTTTATGAACTGGTGTTCCATTAAGATTTAGTTTTTAGGAAGTGTCCCAGTGCAAGAAGAGACAGGGAGAGACAGAAAGAGAGAGACGGAGTAAAAAAATTTGAAAACCACCAGTCTGTAGGGTAAAGTCCAGACTCAATTGAGGGCCCACAATCTGGCCCACACAACCCCCACCCACTTCACCTGACCTGCTTGCTCTCTCCTGTCCTCACATCCTTGGGCTTGCTAGTCGCCTGCTTAGAACACCCTCCAGTCCCCCCACCTAATGCAGTCCTTCAAATCACAACTCCACCCTCCCTCCTGTGAGGCTTCCTCAAGTCCCCTAGGCAGAAGTGGAATCACAGACTCGGGACTGCCATGACTCATGGGACCTTAGAGGCTGCTCATATTGTAGCTGGAGAAACATATCGGGGGCAGAGGAGGCTCACCTCACTCATTAGTCAGCTCCCTCATCAATCGCTTCCTGGGTCCCAGTCATGTCTAAGATGCTGACTGGGTTCCAGGGGATACAAAGGTGAGACACAAGTGATTCTCCTGCCTGAGCCACATGCAGGATGCACAAAGAAATGAACAATGGCCGCAAACTGGAGCTGGATTCAAATCCCAGCTTAGTTACTTGGGCAGGTCTAACCTATCTGAAACCTATCTGAAACCTATCTGAAACCAATTTCCTCATCATACGATGGGGATGATAATAACAGTATGGATTTGTTGTGAGGATTGAGTGAGATGATGCGTGCAGTGTGCTTGGCATAGCATCTAGGCTGCAATTCATGTTCACTGCTAGCTATTAATTATTCAAGGCAGATTCTGGATTGTTCCCTAAAAATTTCAAAGACAGCCAGCCCTGGTGGTCTGGTGGTTAAGATTCATTGCTCTCACTGCCACAGCCTGGGTTCATTTCCCGGTCAAGGAACCACACCACCCATCTGTCGATGGTCACACTGTGGGGGCTGCATGTTGCTGTGATGCTGAAAGCTATGCCACCAGGATTTCAAATACCAGCAGGATCACCCATGGTGGACAGGTTTCAGCAGAGCTTCCAGACAGATAGACTAGGAAGACTGGCCACCCACTTCCAAAAAAATTAGCCATGAAAACCCTATGAATAGCAGCAGAACACAGTCTGTTTTAGCACCAGAAGGTGAGAGGATGGTGCAAAACGACCAGGCAGGGTTCTGCTTTGCTGTACACAGGGTCACTAGGAGTTGGAATTGACTTGATGGCACTAACAACAAAAAATTTCAAAGCTCTGTGAAGCATTGGGTGTTTGGGGTGGGGGTAGGAGTGGGAGAGGGGATCAAGGAAAGATTCCTGGATAAGGCAGTAGTTGAGCTGGACTTTGAATGGGGGCAGGATATTCACAGGAAGCGAGATTGTAGGGTATTGGCATGTGCTGTTTACTAGCTGTGTGATATTGGGCAAGTCAGTTAATGTCTCTGAACCTTAGTTTCCTTTTCTGAAAAATGGGTATGATCGTCATTTGCAGACTATAGGCAAGGTCAGCAATCATAAATATAATATATATAAAGTGCCCAGCACGTGGTAGGTCCTTCTCTTGGCTCAGACCTTTGTCCTCTAACCTCTGACTCTCCTTCCCCCACCAGGCAGATCTGCAAGGAGTTTGTGGACTTGATGGCTCAGGACCGCTCACCGCTGGGCAATAGCCACCCAGCACTCATCCTGGAGCCTGGAGTGCAGAGTTGCCTGACACACTTTAGCCTCATCACCCATGGCTTCGGTGGGCCCGCCATCTGTGCTGCCCTCACTGCCTTCCAGAACTACTTGCTGGAGTCACTCAAGGGGCTGGACAAGATGTTTCTAAGTAGTGCAGGCAGTGGGCATGGTGACACCAAGGCTTCAGAGAAGGATGCCAAGCATCGGAAATAACCTTTTCCCCTGCCCCATCCCTAAGGGGCTCCTGAGGCCTGAAATGAGGTCTTAGCTCCTGGGAATGGGCCTGAAAGGATTAAAAGGTGGGGTTGGAGTCAGGCCAGAAAGAGAACATTCACCAGAAACCCCTGAGTTTGGGGTCTAGGTTGGAGAAGAGGGGTGGCCTCTCTGTGGTGGTTTATTGATAAGGGCCCAGGCATCTGCCTCATGTGCAATTTTCTGACCCTTGATTGCCGAGAAGTTCTTGGACAGGAAATTGGCACAGAAAAGCTTGGTTCTTGGGGCTGAGCCCTGCCCATTAGGGTGCCTGGGTAGCAGCTGGGTGCTCCTAGGGGCCAAGGCCTTGCTGTTTTTACTGATGGCAGGAAAGAAATTGTTAACAAACCAGAGGTGCTACTGAGGAGTTGGTGCTTGTCATCCCAGAATCTCCTACCCCCAGAAAAGGGCTGCTGGCAGGAAGCCCCAGTGGGCTCTTTGGACCCCTCCCACTCTTGGAAAGAAGTGGAAGAGGGGCCCTCAAGGAACAAAGATAAAGCACAAATTGGAGAACTTGAATCCAGGCTGCACTTCACAGTCCTGTTGCTGTCTGTCCTATTTATTTATGTATGTTGTAATTAAATGTGAAAGTTTAAAAATGTCCAGTGCAACTTATTTAACCCAATAAGTTGAGGACTCTTGTTTCACTGTTTTCTGCTCACACACCCAGATGTCCAGCCGGACCAGGATGGAGCGGAGGGTGTTTTTGCTCACAAAGGGCCGTGGGTGGGCTGGGAGGGAAGAAAGATGTGTCAGAGACCCTGAGGTTGTTGCTGGGATTTTGTATTTGCTGTTGTTTCTCTTGACCCTGCAGTCGATATACCTCCCCACCTCTCAGATTGCTTTCTCATTCTCTTAATAAAATCTTTTCATTGGATATGAAGCCAACCCTGTCCTTCTTCAGCCCAGGCCTGGATTTGCCTCCCAAGAAGGTAAGGTCACTGGGGAAGGGCAGAGCCTAGGAATTAGGAGGAGGGGTTGGAGTGGGAAGGGACTTCTAGAGGGAAATCATGGGAGGGAGCTGTGGGCACCTGTGTGAGAGGGGGTGCAGATGGTGGGTCTGTCTGGTTTGTCAGTGTGGCTATTAGTTCTGTGTGGTGTGTGTGTGTGAAGTGAATCCTGGGTCTGCATGTGTATTATTTCGACTTGGCGGGCCTGTGTGTGAATGTGTCAGTCAGTGTGTGAATGTGTTAGGTCCATGTTACTATGACCATTGGTGGTGGGTCTGTATGCGTGTCAGTGTGAATGCAGCTGACTACAAATGTGTGTGTGTGTGTCTGTCAGGCCAATTGTAATTCAACTCTCTAGTCTTCTTGAGGATTTCGCTCTTCAGGCATCTTTTATTTCCTGCATCATCAGTCTCTCCCTCTCTACTGAATCATCTACTAGATCATTCCCCAAAGCACACGTGTTCTAGGATCTCTTACCTTACAAAACATAAATCCTTTCCCATTTATTTCCTTTGCAGTTAAAGTTTTTGAAAGATTGCTACACCCCTACCTCTACTTCCTCACCCCCAATTCACTCTTCAACTCACTTCAATCTGGCTTCTATCTCCACCAGTCTACTGAAATCCATTCATCAAGGTCATCAATGGCCACAATATCAAATCCAAAGGCCTTTTTTCTAGACTTAACAGCACTGGACATGGCTGATCACTTACTTACTCTTTTCTGAAACACTCTCTTCTCTGTGGCTCCCAACTTCTCCTGGTTTCCTCTGACTTCACTGGTTCCAACTCTGGCTCCTTCTCTACTTAATCTCTAACCATGGGCCTTCCTCAGGGCCTTCGCCCTGAACTCCAGGCTCGGATGTACAACTGTCTGCCTGATGTCTCCAGTGGACTGTCTAACAGGCATCTCAAATTATGTCCAAAATGGAGTACTTGACTCCAGTACTCAAATCTTGACCTCCCCCACACTTTCCCACTCAGTAAATGGCACAACCGTCTACCCAGTTGCTCAAGCCAGAAACCAGGGAGTCATATTTGATTCTTGGTCTACACCCAATCTGTCAGAAAGTCCATCATCTTCTATCTCCTCTGCCACCACCCTAGTCTTCAGGACTTCTGCAGTAGCCTTCCAGCTGGCCTCCCTGTTTTCACTGGTACACCTTCATACTGAGGGCCTGCAATGTCTGGACTTTACCTACTTCTTCAACCTTATCTTAAACTATTCCCTTCATCACTCCCTTTGCTCTAGCCACACTGGTTTCCTTTCTATTCCTCAAATTACCACTTTGTTTTATGCCTCAGGGTCATTGCACTCACTGTTCTCTTTGCCTGGAATGCTCTTCCCCCAGTTCTTTGTAGGTGTGCTGTTAGAGACAGATATTGAGTGTTTTGAAGAAATAAAGGGAACATGGGGGTCTAGGCATCATCTCCCAGGTAAAAGTCCAAAGACATGGTTTCTTTTCCCAAGAAGTTTCACTGCCTCAGCCCACCCATATAAAAGGAGGAATAGAGGAAAGGCTGGAAGCTCTGCTTTAACCAAAGCCCTGGGCCTGGCAAGACACATTCAACTACTAAAATTATCTTAGACTATGGGAAGTTGAGGGGATTAAATGAGATAATAGACATACAGCACTTAAACAATGCCCAGCACATAATAACAAATCAATAAAAGGTTATAAATCTCTCTAAGGTGAAGAAGGAAGAAACTAGTGTATTACAAGCTTTTCAGTGCCAGACAAGTTTCCCTAAGTTAACTACATGGTCCTCACCAGTCCTACTTTAGACATAAGAAAATTGTAACACAGAGCAAGTAAGTAGGACTCAGGCAGATCTGTCTGATCTACCAATCCCTTCACTTCCACTGCACCACACAGCTCTGCAGAGGCTCATAGGCCTGAGCCCAGAGAGGGGAAGCAGGTTCTCTCAGCCTTTGGGCTCCCAGGCTCTGCTCCTCCAGTGTATGGTCAGGATTGTCACAGTGCAGAGGCAGCAGTACAGTGTGAAGACTATAAGCGGCATAAGAAGCTTCTAATGAGGCTTCAGCATTTGATTCTCCCCAGTAAGGTTTTTTGTCTTTTTTCCCATAGCAAAATAGTGTTTCAGCCTCTGACTAGCTGGGTTTAGCCCTAAGGAAAAGTAGATGATGATTAAAGAAAAAGTATACGTGGATGGTTTACACGGCTTCGTTTTTTGTTTTTTTTTGTGTGTAAGATCAGCCCTGAGCTAACATCCATGCTAATCCTCCTCTTTTTGCTGAGGAAGACCGGCTCTGAGCTAACATCTATTGCCAATCCTCCTCCTTTTTTTTTAACCCAAAGCCCCAGTAGATAGTTCCTTCTAGTTGCTGTATGTGGGACGCGGCCTCAGCATGGCCGGAGAAGTGGTGCATCCGTGCGCGCCCGGGATCAGAACCCAGGCCGCCAGTAGCGGAGCGCACGCACTTAACCGCTAAGCCACGGGGCCAGCCCTGCTTTCTTCTTAAAGCCTATGGACAAGAACCTGTCACAATAGGCCAGCCTGGTGGCGTAGTGGTTAAGTTCAGTGCACTCTGCTTTAGTGGCCTGGGGTTCACGAGTTCAGATCCCAGGCGCAGAACATTCATCAGGCCATGCTGTGGCAGCAACCCACATGCAAAATGGAGGAAGACTGCCAGATATTAGCTCAGGGCCAGTCTTCCTCAAGCAAAAAGAGGAGGACTGGCAACAGATGTTAGCTCAAGGCCAACCTTCCTCACCAAGAAAAAAAAAAAGAACCTATTACAAAAGCATTTCAAAGGCAAAGCATGGGTGCTCTTGTGTCTTTCCTAATTACTGAAACCAACCAACATAATTCTGCGAGTGTCAGGCCACAGACTAAAGACAGCAGCAGTTCCAACCACATCATCCAAAATAAACAGGCTCAGGGGCCGGCCCTGTGGCGTAGCAGTTAAGTGTGCGCGCTTCGCTGCTGGCGGCCCAGGTTCAGATCCCGGGCACGCACTGACGCACCACTTGGCAAGCCATGCTGTGGCGGCGTCCCATATAAAGTGGAGGAAGATGGGCACAGATGTTAGCTCAGGGCTGATCTTCCTCACA